GGATGTTGACTTAGGTGTTAGAGGGCTCGAATGTGAGTTCTGATGGTTCGGATAGCTTCGGGAGGTGATTTGGGACTTAGGAGTGTGATCGGAATGAGTTTTGGAGGTTCGTAGTAGATTTAGGCTTGAATTGGTGAAGCTGCTATTTTGGCGATTTCCGGTTGGTAGGTGAGATTTTGATATAGGGGTCGGAATGGAATTCCAAGAGTTGCATTAGCTCTGTGGTGTCATTTGGGATGTGTGTGCAAAATTTCAGGTCATTCGGACATAGTTTGGTTGGGTTTTTGACCAAAAGCGGAATTTAGAAGATTTTGGAAACTTAGGCTTGAATTCGATGTGTTTTGGTTGATCCAGTGTTGTTTGAGGTGTTTTGAAGATTGGTATAAGTTTGAATAAAGTTATGGGTTGCGTTTATTCTTTTGGTTGAGGTCCCGGGGGCCTCGGGGTGATTTCGGATGGTTGTCGGAGAGTTGGAATTTTTTTGATGAGTTGCATATTTTTGCTGCTTCTGGTATTTCCGCACCTGCGGATTGGGGACCGCAGGTGAGACGCCGCATATGCAGGAAAATGGTCTCAGAAGCGGAAGCTGGGAAGTTGGCAGGAACCGCAGAAGCGATCTAGGAGCCGCACCTGTGATGGCGCAGGTGCGGATATTTCATCGTAGATGTGGAGTGGGCAGTTTAAGTGATTTTCGCAAAAGCGGTTCAAGTACCACAAATGCGGTACCGCAAAAGTGGGTATATGGCTGCAGAGTCGAAAATACCTGGGCCAGAAGGTATAAATTGTTTCCTTCACGATTTTTGAGCTATTTCACTATTTTTGAGTCGGCTTTGGAGCTCTTTGGATGATTTTGAAGAGGGATTTCAAGAGAAATTCATTGAGGTAAGGATTTTAGACCTAAACCTTATCCTTATGGTATTATTTCACGTATTAGAGCTATAATAAATGGAATTTAAGGGTTAAAAATTGGGGAAACTAGGGCTTAGTATTGGAGACCTAGGCGTGAGGATTTGAGGGACCTATTGTGGTTGGATTTTGGTACTTTTGATATGTATGAACTCGTGGGGAGATTAAAAAATCCATTGATGTGAATTTTATCGAATTCCAAGACATGGGCCCGGGGGTCAGGTTTTGGTAATTTTGGGATTTGTGTCGTATATTGATTATTTTTGGTAGGGCTTCGTTCCCTTAGCATATTTTGACGTCGTAATTTTGATTTTGGATAGATACGACGCGGGTGGAGGCCGATTTGAGGGACAAAAGCATCGCGGGCTAGAGATTTGACTGGATTGAGGTGAGTAATGATTGTAAATGATGCTTTGAGGGTATGAAACCCCGGATTGCACATCGTTGTGCTATATTGAGGTGACACACACTCTTGATGACGAGCGTGGGGTCGTGCACTATTGGGGATTGTGACTTAGTCTGCCCCGAATGACTATTTTACCGCGTATTTGACTGAAGTCTATTTGCTATCATCATTATTTGGTCTAAATGCCATATTTGGGCCTCGTGCCAACTATTTGAACCCTTCAGGGATTGTTATTGATATTTCCTCACTGTTTTGACTTTATACTTGAACTCAGTCATGTTATATTTCACTGTTTTCATACTCAGCCATGTTTACTATGTTTCAACACTTAAATGATCTTTTAAATAATAATTGGTTTGAGAATCATGTTTTACTACTGCCGTGTGGCTTGTGGGGATTTTTGACTGACTAAGGCCGAGGGCCTATGCTGTGAGGAAACACTGATCTTGATTTGAGGCCGAGGGCCTGAGATATGTACGCCACGAGGTGGCTTGATTGATATGAGGCCGAGAGCCTAGTGATGATGCCACGAGATGGCTTGATATTGCGCTTGGGCCGTAAGGGGCCCCTCCAGGAGTCTGCACACCCCCAGTGAGCGCGGGTACCCATTGTGATGACAGATATAGCCTGAGGGGCTGGTATTGTTGTGAGATGTTGCCGGAGGGGCGGATTCGTTGATACTGTGCTCGAGAGGTGAACCTTTATGTGTTTATGCTTCTTAATTGCCTGTCTTTTACCTGCTTAATTGTTGAAAAAGGCTTTTCCTGCAGTTTAAATTTGAATTAAAATGACTTTCACATATCTTTATTGGTTTATTGTTCTTTACAAGTTTTACTATTTTGTTATAGCCTAGAATGTGCCTTACGTGATTTCCTACTTTCACTCTTTAGTTATGATTATTACTCACTGAGTTGGAGTACTCACTTTACTCCCTGCACCCTGTGTGCAGATTCAGGCGCATCTGGTCCCGCTCCCGAGTGTTGATATTTCCAGCTCAAGCGGATTCGAAGAGTCTCTAGGTAGCTATCGGCATTCGCAGCCCGGAGCTTCTTCCCTATATTATTTCTCCTTGTTCTTAGTTTTTTTATTAAACTCTGTAGATCTCTCTGAGTATTCCGGATTTTTAGATGCTCATGACTAGTGACACCCCGATATCGAGCTGTGTTGGGTTGTTTTTCCGCATATTTGTACTGTTGACTACTTAAACCTTGGGTTATTTTATCATGCTTTAGACTTGAATCTTATTATTTAATTGCTTCAAACTGAAATGGAAAGTGTCGGTTGGCCTTGTCTTCACGAGAGGCGCCATCATGACCAGGTTCGGGTTTAGGGTCGTGACACCCAGTGAGCGCAGAGTGTTGAGTGTATTGAGTGTCGAGTGTTGAGTGCTGAGTACGAGTGCTGAGTAATGGAGTGACATTGTTGTGAAGTTGCATTTACTTTTGTGGTTGCTGCATTTATCTGTTAAATTTCTTTGTGGTATTTACTAAGTTATGGAATTACCTGTTTATTCATGTTTATTTTTTTAAAATTATGAAAATAAATAATTGGACTGTTTTACTTAGCTCGTCACTACTGCTCAGTTCCTTAGTTATTTCTGTTACTGCTGAGTTGGTTGTACTCATACTATACCCTGCACTTTATGTGCAGATCCAAGTGAGTTAGAGCGCGGTGACCGTTGATTTCAGGCCGACTATCTGTGGAGATTGCAAGGTAGCTGCCAGTGTCTGTAGGACCTTGTTACTCCTTTGTCATTTCTTCTTTTAGACAATTTATATATCATAGTTTATAGTTTTAGACGCTCATGACTTAGTGACACCCCGATGTTTGGGGCCCGTTTTCGTATTTTATATTAATTATATTTAGAGTTGATTTAGTTTATGAGAAATTCAAATGTTGAAAATATTTTATTAAATTCTTATAATCGATTTAGTAGTAATATTTTGGGAAATAGACTTGCCTTGTAACACGATAGGTGCCATCATGACATGGTTAGATTTTGGGTCGTGACAACTACCTGGATCAATTAATACACGTTTAAATAGAGATTTATTCATGAGTACAGATATTATTAGTGCATCGTTGTGGGGCTACACGATTCCTTCTGTGTCCTCGTCCCTGAAAGACAAGGTTCCTTCTGGTATGTAGTCTTGAGTCCATTTTTCCCTAGTGATGGATTTGGTGCGCTTTAACATCTATCCTTGAGGAATATTGACCCCTCCGATGATCGTGTGAATGACGTGTTGAGGTTCTTCTTACTCGGTTTGTTTATTAGGGTCCCTATTTCTGAAATGATTCTTGGATCGGTCACTCAGGAATTCTCGAAGATGCCCGTTGTTGAATAATCGGGCTACCTCCTCCCTTTACTGTCGGCAATCCTCTGTTCTGTAGTCGTGAGTGCCATGATATTTGCACATCTAGTTTGGATCCCTTTGGGATGGGTCGGGCTATAGAGGTCGAGGCTATTTGGTATCTTTGATGCGTCCAATAACCGATACGATGGCAGTAACATCAACGTTAAAGTTATATTCCGATAACCTTGGTGCTTCTTTAGGTCCGATAGGCCTGTTGAATACGTTCTTGCTCATGAGGCCCTGGCTGCTCTGACCTCGGTCATTTCAGCTTTAATTTTGTATAAAACTCCGTCTGGACTCATTGCTTCTTCGATCCTCATAGTACGGTTGATACCGATCCCTGTTCGGCCTTGGTTCTTGATCAATCTTGACTCTGTCGATGGGTCTAACAGGATAAACAGACTCGAAATGAGCTCCCAGTTGATCATCTTCGAATCAGATCTTCGATTGATACCAGTTATTCACATCAACCCAAGTGACAACTGGATATTCTATCAGATTTCGCTTCAATTGTTGTGAAGCCACCGAACATCAAACATTGAGTCCTTGGATAAAGGCTTGAACGGCCCAATTATCAGCGACCGATGGCAGGTCCATCCGTTCCACTTGAAATCGAGACACGAACTCTCTAAGGATTTCATTATCCTTTTGCCTTACTTTGAAGAGGTTTGACTTCCTGGTTTCAACCTTGATAGCCCCAGCGTGTGCTTTCACAAAAGAGTCTGCAAGCATAGCAAATGAGTCAATAGAATTAAGGGTAAGTTGTGATATCATATCATGGCTCCCTTTGACACGGTTTTTCCGAATTTCTTCACCAAGACAGACTCGATCTCATCATCCTCCCAGTCGTTTCTTTTGATGACATATGTGTATGAAGTAACATGCTCGTTTGGGTAAGTCGTCCCATTGTACTTAGGAAATTCGGGCATGCGGAATATTTTAGGGATCGACTTTGGAGACGTACTCGGAGGGAAAGATTTTTGTAAAAACTTCTTGGAATCCAAGTCTTTCAGTATCGCCGGCGCTCTCGGGATCTGGTCGACCCAAGAGTTGTAGGTTTCCACCTTTTTGTTGTTTGCTTCGATTTTCTTCTCCCCTGATTCTATCCGTTTCATCAGCTCCTCGAGCATTTTTATGATCTTGGGGTTAGTACCCGACTTGTTCCCACTCGACCTCTCTACTACCGGTTCCTCCTTGCGGGTGATCTCTCGAGATGGATCGGGTTCAATTCTGCTCGGTACATGGCTTTGGTTTTGTAAGTGAGATATCGCCGCCTGCTGAGCCTGTAACATTTTGAAAATCATCCGTAGATTGATCCCGTTTCCTCCATCGTTTTAAGTATTCTGTGCTGTTGACCGGGCTCCACGACGGATGCTGTTCTCGGGGTCAGTAAGGAGCCTTGTGTCGATAGCCACATGCGAATTAACTTCCAATGGATCCGTAATTGGAATTCTGATTGGATCAACTGGCGGTACCTCATTACCGGACGCTATGCTATTGTTTTCACCTTGGTGACCATATTCATTGTCAGAAGGTAAAGGTGCTAACTGTGAGTTTGATAATTTGAGCTTAAGCCTGAAATTAGAGATAATTCAAAGAGCAAATGTAAAATAGTGTGTGTTATGGAAATTTATATTAAATAACCACTATTATCCTTAGCCCTACGGTGGGGGCCAAACTGTTTACCCTCAAAATCGAATAACAATTGAATTTATAAGTGATTTTAAGGATACATGAATTAATTTGACACAAAGCGATAAATTGAATTATAAATAAAGTGAACAATAATAAAGTAGATTCAAACCGTGTGACTTGAACAGTTATAACTTTGAAAAGTAAGTCTCATTCGGACCGGATGTAGTTCAAATGATATCAAACACAGAGGAACAATAGCTTGCAGAAATAATATTATAATGCTTTGGGATGCGTGTTACAATGTGTTTCATAAATAATCTGACCCCTTTATATAGTAGGGAAATCCTACTTTAAGTATAATTCTATAAAAGGTAAAAAAAACTCATGATTTGCTAACTAACCGGTTTCTCATTGATACATGCCGAGATTCCTGCCATGATATTCGACCGGTTACGGATATTTCGGCCTTCCGTTATTTGGTCCGACTATGTTTCCTCGAGCTCATCCGGAGTCGGGGTCGATTACGGAGTTATGGACTCGATGATCTCGAAGACGGGTGTTCTACCCGGGATCAATCTTTAATCCATTACGTTTTAATTCCGATCTATCGTGCAATTGACGAGCCCGATTTCGACAGAAGAATGTGTAGTTGGGGGTTAGGAAATTCGAATAGCAGCGTTAAATAATGCCAGATCTAAATAAATGGCTTGGCGTTTTCTTCTCTTGATGATGTTTTTCTTAGGACATGCCGTTAAACTTTTTTTTAAAATTTGTTTGACGAAATGTACAACTTTGTTTAATAGTAATAACATTATCGCTTAAAACCTGAATGTATACTCGGATTGCCTAGTCACTGGGCAAAGGGAAATAAAATATTAGCATAAAAACAATATACTTATTTCTTAAGTCTCAATTTATGTGGCTTATTTCACTTGCTAAGAGTTAATTTGACTATTTTTGGATGTGATATCAAAGTCCACTTTCTTAAAATAATTCTGAATTTTAACGGCTTTACTAGCACAATTTCAACTTATGCGGCAAAATTAGAAGTTCCAGACTTTATAGTAATTTCTTTTAAAAAAAAAAGTTGACTTGTCTCGAGCGTTTGGTCAATTTCAGTATACGACGTATAACAATTTAACTCTTACGACTTTGATAACTACTCTTGACTAGTATTAACCTAGGCTACACGGAATCTTCAAATATTATCGTAACCGTATTGAATTTTTTAAAAATACAATACTGTTGGTGGATCCAATAAACACTCCGACAACTTTTTCGGAGAGTCCGAGTAACATAGTAACTAATAAACCTAAACTAGTGAGAAAAGATAGAGAAATTAAAAAACAATATCAAGGTGCCAATCTATTGAGGAAATAGTGTGAAATAAAAAATGAGGAAGAATATTGAGTTACTATATAAGTCATCAGAGAAGTCAAATGCAAAGAAAATTAGTGTGACTAATTCCTATAGGAAAGAAAGAAAAACGCGGTATCTTGACAATCTCGAGATATCCACAGGAAAACAAACAAAAAATGTAGACAAATATATTCACAAGTGAGCTAAGAGACATTTCTTTAAATTGCTTAAACCATTCATAATTGTCACTTCAGTTTTCACAAAACTCATTAGTTCCATACATCATAATTTGAAACATTATGAAGTCATATATAATTTCATCATGTCTACTGATATGTTTGTTCATCTCTAGCCATTGTGTGGAAGCAAAATCCCTGCAATATTATTCGTACAAGGAATTGTTTTCTCAACACAAGATTGCCAGAGAGTTAAGAAGTTTAAACAGGAATAAGGGCAGAGGCAACCCAACAGTGTCACCACCAAAGCCTAATTGGAATACTCACTTTAAGTCTCCTCCTCCTTGTCCACCACCACCACCTCCACCAGCACCGTCAAACTATCCTTAAAAGAAGTGGATATATAACAGGTCACTCCTTCCGAATTCCGAAATAGATTTCTGGAAGGAAAATATCCGTACATGTAGGTTAAAATAAGAAGCAAAACACAAGTAGTTCAAGCTTGTGGAGCTAGTATTTTTGGACTCAAAACAGGTTAGTTTAGTGTTTGTTTTATTTTCGGGTTTTTTCCTTTTTATGTGTTTTTATTTTTGTTTTGGGAGAATTATTTTGGGATTACTGTGAGGGAATTATTTTGCATTTTGATTGTTCTATTTTCTTTTTAATTATATAAAAACCTTGACACAACAGTAAAAGTTGCTAGGAAATCAGCATTTTGTAGAAATATTAAGTAAGGCTGCATCCCTAAAACTTAAAGTCATCCATAAAATGAAAACAAATGCTTAAAACCAAAAAGGGAACAAGAGTACTGTCGGCAAAACATAGATTTTAATGGTCGCTTTGGCGGGAATATACAACAACAACAACCCAGTAAACTTTGAGAAGTAAGGTCCGGGTGGCTCAGAATATATACGATGTATTTATTTCAGTCAGTAAAGTGCAACAGCTATTGAGAACACAGATAATTGAACGATCTCTCTCTCTCGATCAAGTCTTCTCAAAAGCTTGAATACGTTGTTCCAATTAGAACCACACGCCACATCTTTAAGGCACAGCAAGCTAGAGTTCTAATTATAATGCTATCGATAAATTCAGTAGTTTTGATCAAAATTTTATATTTATATTAAAAAATTTATTGAATATGTATAAATAAGTTACCTAAAATCTAATAAGCTGTCATTTTCTTAAAATATCCATAAACTCAAAACTTATTATCTCTTTTTTCTTTTTCCTTCCTTCTTCTTTAAGGGACCCACCTCTTGAATATTGATAAAGACCTCAATTTCAAACCAGCAGAATGGCAAAGACTTCAAGAGTCAAACCGTCAACTTCTCAGAAACGAGTAGCTAATTAAAGTCATGGATGGGACCAGACTAGTTAAAGTATTTAATTAATTCGGGAAAGTGATGGGACTATCAAAATGTTTTATTATTAGGCGTTCTTTAAGAAAATTCAACAAGTTGAAAGTGGAATAACGAAAAAGAAATTTAATTATTAGGAAATTAAGTTATCCCAAATCGGTTGCGAGATATGAAATTAAGTTGTCATAATTTTGAAAATTTTTCACATTATAAGTTAATTTTTGTAATTAAGATAGGCTTAAGGTTCATTTTTTCATATTCTTTTGATCAAAATTTTATTTATGTTTCTAATGCTTAATATGATTTCTTCTCAGTTTGTCAATATTTCATCCCAATGATATGTGCGAAATAATAATCCAAAAATTAGAGCGAGCTCTACATGCTAAGTTGAATTTGGATATCTATTCTTAAATTTTGTTTTTTTCTTCTTCTTTTGGAGTGATCACCCTATTTAGTGACCAAAAGTCATCTTAAAAAGATTTATGTATCAGAAAAAATGACTCAGAACACGATAAAATAATGAATTTTTTTATTATTTGAGTGTAACACAAAGTTATATTTAAGAAATTATGTTTATGGTGAGGTATAATAATCAACAATAATAATTACGCTTCAGTCTCAAATAAGTTGGGTAGATGATATAAATGTTTAATTAGTCAGACATGACACAAATTTATATATTTATCTTAGATTTAATATAAGTTCCTCACGTGCGAATCTCTGACTCTTTATTTTGAGCCAAGCACGCAATGTTTTTTGATAGTGTATGGTGGTAATACTTTGCATCCAAGACTTAATTATGCTTGTTCTTATACAATGTTAAATTAAGTGAATATTTTATCTAAAAACTTAAGTAGTTAAAAATCGATGGTATTACTACATATGGTATATAATAGTCAAACTCTCACAACTAGGGTTACCTCTTCTCTCCAGATACCAATCATATATAATTCTCACTTAGTTTTCAGAACAGTCTTTAGCTCCATCTCTAGAAATTGAAACAATAATAATGAGGCCAGATATAATTCCATGTCTACTGATATCCTTACTCATCCATGAATTGGTCGTGGTGGATGACAAGTGTTCTAGCCTTTCAGTAGAAGCATTAAAGTCCGCACAACAATTTTCTAACAAGGAATTAATGGTTTCTCAACTCAAGGCCGCCGGAGAGCTAAAAGGTTTAGACAGGAATAAGGGCAGAGGTATACTAACACCGCCACCACCAGCGCATAATTTGAGAAATCATTGGAGGAGCCGTTATGTGCCACCAACACCACCACCACCACCACCACCAAAGCCTAATGTGGGAAATCGTCGGAACCGTGGTGCGCTACCACCACCACCACTACCTCCTCCACCAGCACCACCACCTCCACCAGCACTAGCACCTCCACCTCCACCTCCACCAACACCACCACCACTTTCATCGCCACCATCAGAAGAACCACTGCTTCCACCAACACTAGCACCACCACCTTCACTATCACCAGTACCACCATCATTTTCACCGCCTCCGCCACCTCCACCATCACCAGCAAGCTAGTCGTGAAGCTCGCCACTGCAGTATATGCTACAACTTGTATTGGTAGAAAAAGGCATGACACGTGGACCAACAGCAAGTTGACAAGTAGCACTTATAATTGGGTCAACAAAGAAAGACAGAAAGGCACATCAAGGAAGTATCGGACGTAACATCTGGAAAAGAAGAAATAGACACGAGATGAACACCGTAAAAGGGGAAAGATTCACGAATCTGTTACAAATAAGGAAGGGGAATCAACATTAGCTTTTGATTACACGTGATCCTCTATTATTACTGTAACCTTTACAATGAAAATTGGTAACAGACAATCAAGCCAATTAATGTCATTAACGAGTCAAAATTAAGTAGCAAAACCATTACAATTGTGTATCCTTATATAAGGACCCATACATTATTTTGTAGTCATCTGAATATCTCAAAATATAAGTTATCAATCTTTTACTTTATTTGATTCAAGAGTCCAATCCGCAATTTTGGGGGAAATTAGCCGTCAACAATAAGCTTTCTTTCCTTATTTATCATTTCCATGATTTTCCTTATTTTTGTTTTACCAAGAAATTGAAGTAATTTTGGTTATCAGTTACCCAATTTTTCTTAATACTAGCTTTGACCATAAAACTATTTTTGGGTTAAACACAGTCATGAGCATAGCCGAATCCGGAATTTAAACTCTATGATTCAACTTTTAGGCTTTTAGCCGGAACTCAAATATAATTTTAAAGTTATGAGTTCAATTCTATATTCTAGTAAATTTTTACCCATAAATTTATATTTTATATCGAAAGTTACGGATACAGTCGAACCCCTACCTATATCAGCACATCCGCCTCTGGCTATGAGAGGATTCATAAATTTTATTGACTAAACCACTTAAATGTTATGCAAAATCGAGCTTGAGAGACAAGTTGGTTTTCTGATTTTGTAGAGTAAGGAGGTTAGTCAATAGGTCCACTCCCACATGTACTACTTTTTCTGATTTTAATAAATCCTTACGGGTCCATTTTATAATAAAGAAGCTAGTTCATTTTGACTCGAAAACGTTTATTTGATTTTTTTTAGTATTTCTTTTTATTATTTTGGATCTTTTTTACATCTTTTTTTAGTGCTTAAATTGGTTTTAGAAGAATAAATTTAGGATTGTTATGAGAGAATTTATATTAAGAGTGTATTTTTTTAAAGTAAATATACCACTAGACAGGCTGTCTAGTGTCTAATATATATAAATATCCCAAAACTTGAGTCCAAAATTTACAAGATGTCCAAACCAATATAACAAATGCAAAATATTACTAGCTAATACTATGAATAGGAAAACTAATACTAATGAACTAGCTATTACACATAATAAGGATGTATGCTTCCAACTCCAAATGGTGTAAGTGAATCCAATAGCCAAGGGCAAATACCAAGTAGCACCTCTAATGCTCTCACCAGGTGCCAGGGTATGCATTTCATTGAACAAGTCCAATGAACAAGGCTAATGTGGATTCCAAACACTTACACCACTGATTTGAAGCTATCCGGAACTGATAAACACATGTGTTGCCCCAACTTGATCTCCATTTCTAGAAATTTTGATCCTTAGCATCATTAGATGATATATTAACTGGACAGTTCCAAATATGTTCCTATATAGTTTTGGACCATAACTGAGTGCTTAGCAGATGGATATTATGTATTACCTTCACATCTCCAGATTGAGTGCAATAATACACTAATACTACTGGATAATGCTCAAGCAATACACAACATAGTGATAGATGAAGCATCAGCTGGTCATGAGAATAATGTAGGCAAAAGACTATGTCCAATTCAAGAGCAAACTGTCTAATCACTTGTGCACCATGAATCAAGTATGTACAATACACATCATGACAATATGTATCACCTTACAAACTTATTGTGTATACTTTATGATGCTTGCTTGTCTTATCAAATCTGTATGTTGCCAAACAACTTTCAGGCTGAGCATAATGACATGCTAATACCACTGGAAAATTATCTACCAACACAGAAACGAGAAACAATGAAGAGTGAGGCAAGATTAGGCAATGCATCCATAGTTTTGATCATCAATCCGGTTCTTTTCTTTTAGCAACCCTAACCCTAAGATTATGGACTTGTGACTTGTCAAGGGCGATATGTCTCCTTCCTGCACTAGGTAGTTTAGAGAAGGATTGAAATTGAGTTGTACCTGCAAAAGGAAAAATATGGTTAGCTAAAAAATCTGCCACAGTATTCCCCTCCCTTAACACATATTAAAAGATCACATTGAATTGGTCCTTCATCTCCTTAATCCTCTTTACTTCCTTCCCTACACTCCAAGGTACCTCTCATTCCTCTTCTATAATATTCTTCATCACTAAAGAGTCTGTCTCAATGATCAGAGGGTGAAACTGCCTATCCATACAATACAATAACCCATCAAAAATTGCCCTTGCCTCAGCAACAATATTAGTTGACCATCCTATCTGTCACACCTCCTTTTTGCGCGCCCGCCCCGAAGGGTTAAATGCGCGGGTGGAGTTTTTCCAATTTAAGTGACAATATTCGAAATGGGATTATTTATTTAATTCAGAGTCGCCACTTGGGAAAGGTTTGGCTTTTGGTGTCCCAAGTCACCGGTTTATCTTGAATCCCAAATCGAGGAAATTTTCGACTTTTCCAAATGAAGTCTGCGAACCAGAAATTCTAAGTAAGGAATTCTGTTGACCCGAGGGAAGGTGTTAGGCACCCTCGAATCCCGTGGTTCTAGCACGGTCGCTTAAATTGTTATAATGG